TCGAACCTGCGACCTCTCGCTGTCAAGGCGAGCGTCATAACCATTAGTCCACGGAGGCTTCATTGAAAAATCACAAAATTGATAACGTGGACAGAGCTAAACAATTCTTTGATTCGTTGCTGTACGATCATTATTGATTAAATTTTGCATGGATTATCATGATCCTTGTTCAAGCAACACGCATTAACTCCAATCAGATACTGCTCCTCTTTGCATTTTTATCTCTTTCCCGACTTCACATTAACATAAGCTGTTTCTTCTTCTCTATATTGTAGATCTTGGTAAGTCTGGTTTTCATTGCCAGCAGTTGGCCTATCTGCCGTGAAGTCCATGTAAGTCTGTGTCGCGATATGAAATGCAATATGTCAATGTAAGTTATCGTTTGTAACTTGTTGCTTAATTGAAATGGATTTATACGCTTTTATACATTCTTAAAAACACATTCTCACTGGCGCTCATCCATAGCGGTAACCAAGCAACAAGCGAGGACATGATAGAACACAATCAAGTGTGTGAGTGAGTTTCGAAAAATATATAAAATTCTGGAGGTTTATAGATTCTTTTAGAGGGCCTATTCCCAAAGATTTAAATATTGGAGTAGGCCTACATTTTACAAGTATACAAACACTTTTAATAATCCGTAGAATATCAACTGTCAGTCGGCATATTATATGTTTTTTCATTGATATCAGACTTTGTTTGGCCTAAAAACCGAGGCGGTTGCATACCATTGTTAGGCCTGAATATGGAAAGAATCAGTGTTATCAACGAAGTGGATAGGGACCCAGTACCGGAACCATTGTCGTTTGACCAACGTATTATAATTTATGGGTAAGTCTAGGAAGGCGTTATCAATAGAATATATTATTAACCTCAATCTTTTGAAAAATGAAACACATAATTAGGCCTACAGATACCATGGCACGTGGCACAAAGTGGATTGGTAACACATATCAGAGGTGAATTAAAATAAAAACTTACATCTTGTTTACTCTTGTCCGTACTTCTCTTGTCTATTTTTGTCTTCTAAATTGTAATTAAAAAAATATTAATACAATTTGCAGTCATAACTCTTTTTGTCGTTCTGTTTAGGCCTATTTGTTTTATTTAAATTTTACAATTAATTTATATGTTTATTTATTAATTAAAGTTTAACAATGGAAAGCCTGCCAATTAAGCCTACAGAATGGAGATTGAAACCACATGATAAAACACAAGAAAATACAAAAATTTGTTTCATTTTGTGTAATACTTTGCTGGGCCAGATGCAGGATTTGGCGGTAGGGGGTGAGTGAGTGTCCAGACTACCTCAGCCCTAACATGGTTTGGGCTGAGGCGGGAAAATTTGCAGAATAGGTGCCCGAAAATTACACTCATACCTTAAAACTTTTATCTGTAATTCATAACAATATAATACAATTATTTTTCTTCATATAATTTAAGGGGTGTGGGGGGTGCGATCGCACCGTCTGCACCCCCTCTGCATCCGCCCCAGCTATCTGTCCTTTTGTAGAATTTCAAGTCCGAGTTCAACCAGGACCATTTTACTGCAACATAAATAGAAGGATGGGGGTGAGGGAATGTTGTTTAATTTGGTAATTGAAAGCAATAATCCTGAATAGAACATGAACAATAATTGTGTTAATATGCCTATCTGAGAAACCTGTTTAATCCTCGTGTAGACGATCAATCCACCAACATACAATTAGTAGGTCATTATACCCCTTCAATCATAATTATTTATTATGATGTAAAAATGTTAAATATAATAATATGCAATAATGACATTAAACATGAGTAGCAAATCAAAATAATAATAATAATAATAATAATAATAACAATAACAACAACAACAATAATAATAATAATAATAATATATGCCTAATATTGATAATAGTGATAATAATGATGACAATACGGTATTAAAAGATGATAATGATGGTAATGATGATGATGATGATGATGATGATGATGATGATGATGATGATGTTGATGATGATGAAAATAATAAATGATGGTAATGATAATAACAATGATAATGATGGTGGTGGTGATGATGAATCAGGATTCGATGTCAGATTACGAAACGTGTAGGCTTGACACCTTGACCGCTGATGAATTGTGTCCAAAATATACTACAAACTCGTAAAATGTAATAATGAGCCATTATCATTATTATATAATTTTCGGTACAAATTTAAACGTCTTTGATTTTCTTCCTTCTTCCTTTTTGGTAAACTCTAACAAACAATAACATAATTGTAACATTACTTACTTATAGCTTTATTTAAATATTATTATATTATAGGCCTATATCAAATAAATATCTAAAAATTTCTTTAAAAAATGAAAAAAAGAGTGTAAGTCACAGAGTTTTTAGAGTTTTACAGAGTTTTGAATAACTTTAATATTTTCCAATCTTCTAATCAATTTTATATAGCCGGAGTTAGTTCACTCCTAGGCAAACCTTGCTAAAAAGGTACACTTTTTCCATATAAAGGCTTCTTCAATGAATGGAATGTTCGAAGCACGAACTCTTGTAGACCAAATTTTTAATCGTGAGGGAAATCCACTCATGATGGATGTGATGTCGAATGAATGGAACATGTAGGCTGCCGGCACCTTGATCTCGGATGATTAGTGGCTACAAATTTTCACAAAAACGTGATACATTAATGACAAAATTATTATTATTGTTTGTTTTAGGTACCGTATCATATTTCAGCCGCTCCGAGTTTCTTTCCTACTCTTCTTTCTTTCTTATATGCTTCTTCCATATTTATATTAAATTTAATTTATTTAACTAAATAACATACTTAAGCATAATATATATATATATATATATATATCTATATATAATATATATATATATATATAATTTCTCATTTCGATATATATCTAACTGGACTAGGACTCTTAGATCTAGGCATGTATACATTGTGTCTGTATTTAATATATTTCATATTGTCAATCGAAGATATGTCCTGGTCTCCGACCGTTTTATGTTCACTTGGATAGGCTTATCTCCATAAGACTTCTACGAATGGATACCTTGTTTGAAGCAAGAAACTAAGTTGCCTTTATCCAGTACCGCTCGTCTATTTTATTCGTGTGGGAAACTTTTAACATATATTACTTCTTCTAAAAGCGAAAAAAAACCCCAATACCCTTGCAAATCAGAAATTGTCCCTCTCCACCGCCATCTCCAGCATGTCTACTATATTAATGTAGCAGTTGCAATTAATGTTTCGATGCCATACCAACCACAATAATACAATAATACAATAAATAAATAATAATGAAATATTATGTATATTATTATTATATTATATACAATATATAAGTAGCTGCACTGCATTTTAATAAAATAATAATTATATTTTATATTTTGCCATTTTTTCAATGCTTATGGTTATAGAACCATCCTATGTTTTCTTACCCCTCCTCTGTATATAGGCCTACTATTTTTTCTTTGTCCAATTTTAAAAATTAAGGAAACAATTGTTATTAGTTAGCCCTATTAGTTATTAATCGAGTCGTATCGTTATAAGCCTAGATTCCTGGTTCTTGATAGGCGGCCCGCGGGCCAAAAGTAGCCCGCGGAGCCGTTATATCTGGCCCGTGTGAAAAAATCAGCAAACGCCAAAGATTGGTATTGTAAGTTCTAGCTATTCTTGGAAAAGCCTGAGAAGAATTGTTGATTGAGTAGACTCAAAATCAAGGTGGTTTTAGGTTTTAATTTACTAAAAATAACACTATGGCACTGCCACCTTCTAATCTTCCCCTCAGCTTTTTTTAATCTGGGGAATTTTTTTTCTCTCGGCCGGCTATTTTCTCCCGGCTATTTTCGTCCAGTATTTTTCCGATGTATGATTTTTTTCATATAAGCTCATGTATAAGGTATATTTGCTTTTTTTCACTATATATTGTCTTGTTACACCAGACAGGTGTGCCGATGATTTTAAAAAACGAAAAGCGTATCCAATCAATTGATTGATTGACTCTTGATGCATTCGAAATTCTGATGAAGTGTAAAGACACATTTTAAAAACGTCTTTTTAAAAAGTTTGCATCCGGGTTCACTTAGAGATAGAGGAAAGTTGAATCAGGAAATCATTTTTAAACATACAGTACTTACTCTTTGGCCTATAAATATCACACCTATTTTCTAGTCGTTCATTATGTATACATGTGTTTGCATCAGCTAATACTTCGACAAGGTGCGCGAATATTATCAAAGTTTCAGGGGCAGTAGACACAAAAATCGGCATGGAAAAACCAAAAGTTTGTTACCCTTTTATTCCTGTTAAGCAGTGTCAAAAAACAAGACGGATGATTTCATTAATTTGAAGTCTCAGTGCCCTTTGGTGATTCTCTTCTACGATTATTCCGCCTACTTTACACCTAAATTTCTTTACTGTTTCTGGTAGCATAACCATGGAGGAATAAGTTTAGTACTTATTCATCCATAGTTTCATTATTCTGATTGACTGCGTATGATTTGATGTATTTTTTTTGTATTTTATTTACTTTCGCTGCTTACATGTGTATATATGTATATGTGTATATATGGGTATGTTATTTTATTATTTTTATTATTATTATTCGGGATTTTTTGAATTCTGATGTTAATGTTTTTTTTTTGGTTTTTTTTCGGGATTGGAAATGGAAGGAAGTGGGTAACTTCGATTTCGGGATTGGAAAAGGGAAGGGAGGGGTAATAAGACTTTGATTTTTACTTTTTTTTAAGCTCATTTGCTTTTATTTTTGATTTGTCATGTTTTGATTTTGTTTGTTTTCTTATATTTTTCTTGGACGCACCGTTTTCTACGTGTGCCACTGTTGTAAAAGTGTAGCTTCCAAATAAAGAATATAATATAATGCAATTTCAGTTCTCTTTCTTTATCTTGCAAAGAAGACAACTGCAGTGTAAACAGATTATTGATATGTATTCTTTACTAATTATGGTTTCAGAATTTAGATGTTTGCATACCCTAATATATTTTATAAGTCAATCGTGACGTCATCACTGCAAATCCCAATGTTATTTGCCTGTCCACTAATTTTTCAATTAGTGGACGCTTGGCTTGATTGTTTAGGTTCGTGTGCACAAAAAAAAACACCTAATTGTTTCGTCACCGCGAAGATATCGTGCACCGTGATGAAAATTGAATTGTAATTGAAAATTGCTTTCGTAAAACAAGGTTACTTAGAACCCGAAGAAAGTTACTTCAAATTCAATATTAATTATGAACAGTTAAGGAAATCTTTTAATCAATGAACCCTAATAAACTAAACCAACTGAACGTTTAATAGGAATATTCTAGACCTATTATTAAAGACTCAAGGCACGAAGTTAGCTGGAGGCCTGCAAGCACGTAGTCGTATCTTAGCGTAGTTATGAAATCATCGCACAAATTTTACCTGCCTGCACCGACCAATCGGTGACTATTCTCTCTCGAATCTTTAAGAAATGTTTATCTCTTTGACGAATGTATCAAAAAGCATTACAAATAAGGGATTCTAACACAATACAATTACAATAGTTATTCATCGTATCCGTACTGTAGCACAATAAAAAGTGTAATTTGAAATTACCAAAACAATTATAACGAGTTGTATTATGACTCAGATATTATATGTGGCCCGTGAGCTCAACTCAAAAAATATTTGGCCCTTTAAACAAATTAATTAAGAACTAGGGGCCTAGATTGTAGGTGCAAATTAGTGATGGGTTTTGTGTCTCAATACATGGGTTAAAGGGTGAAGGCAGGCAGGTTTAAAACAATCATGTTTTTTCGGGGGAGGAGGGTGTGTTTAAATTTGATCTGCTTTGATTTACTTGGTTTTGTTTTTCTTTGGATGCATCGTGTCGTTTCGAAATAAAGAATAATAGGATAAGAACTTTCTGACAATATTTATGTAACGTAATTAATAGAGGTATAATTTTAGTTGTACATGTGCTGATGATGTGGTGTGCTTGTTAATGACTAGGTAAATCAAAGATCATCCCATTGTTTCTGACACGCTTGGGAATTTGAACAGTCAGTAGTTTAAGATATAGTGGCAAAATAGTTAAATAACATCATATTATAGCCTTTTAGTTTCTCTATAAATGTGAAATCAAAATCAAAACAAATATCGCGACTACAGTAACCGTTTCGTAATGTGGACATCAAAACTGGAACTGGTATTGATACAAATAGTCCTCTTTTTCAAGACGTTAGGCAGACATTGACTTGAGGTTGCCATTAATAGTGGGACACTGCTTTTAAAACTATAAAAATATGGAGCGAACCAACAGCAACATTGTCATTTTTATAGAGAAAAACAGTATAATGTAGTGATTATTATGCACATGCACAGATACATAAGTCCTTTCACATAGATTGGATGCACAACAGCAACACATACTCAATATTGATGTTATTTAAATATGATTTATTATACAAATAACGCCAATTTACGCAATTTAGTCCTTTACTATTCCAATAATAATTTACTAATTATTCCCGAATGCTAGGTCTGTTACTAACATCTAACGCATTAATCGACGGGTGCAATGTATTTTAGCATTAAAATTTCTTTACGCCGTCGTCTTCATCTTTTTTTTTTGCAATATTACAAAAAAAACCCAACAGCTGACTAGTAGCTATTGCTATTGTGTACTCACTTTCACAACGATTTGTATTTTTATCAAATTGTCTACAACCACCACAGTAGCATCCACAAACGCCATTCCCATCACTGTAGTACGTGTCCCCCTTATCCAAGTCACAGCCATCCTTATAGATGCAGTCTATAAACACAAATAAAACTGATGACGTCAGGGGGTTGGGGTATTTTAGCATTAAAATTTCTTTACGCCGTCGTCTTCATCTTTTTTTTTTTGCAATATTACAAAAAAAACCCCAACAGCTGACTAGTAGCTATTGCTATTGTGTACTCACTTTCACAACGATTTGTATTTTTATCAAATTGTCTACAGCCACCACAGTAGCATCCACAAACGCCATTCCCATCACTGTAGTACGTGTCCCCCTTATCCAAGTCACAGCCATCCTTATAGATGCAGTCTATAAACACAAATAAAACTGATGACGTCAGGGGGTTGGGGTCTGACCGGTGCGTATGCACCCTCCCTTCCCTTTAAATTACCGAAAATCCACATTTTCCCGGGTTGAAAATTCAAGAATTATACCACCCTCAATTTGTCAAAATTATTTAAAAAAAGAAAAGAAAAATATATTGAAATTTAAGTCTGAGAGTGCATCTCCGGCCATCTGGAAGTGCCATAATCATAAATTTAGCCCCAACCATGGAGGGTGGGGCTGAGGTGATATGGACTCTCAATCTGTAAATGTCCTTTCCTTGCCTATATCAAATTCTTTGATCCCCCATTGACAGTGGGGATTCAAGAAACCCAATCGCCCAGCCCCCTCAATTTTTCAAAATTTAAAAACAAGGGAAAAAATGATTTTCGAGTTGTATGATAGTGCAATTTCTGGTCATTTGAAGGTGCTATAATCATAAATTTTCTTACCTCAGCCCCAACCATCATGGTGGAGCTGAGGTGGTATTTCTTCCATCTGTGAAAGTTTCTCCCTGGCCCCTCTTCAAATTTCTAGATCCGCCACAGAAAACCGTATATAAATCTTCAGAACTTAAGTTATCAAATATGCCTGAGCTCCGCCACCTCGATCCCAGCAGGGCCCCTGGAGCCATTTTAGTCCACTCACTACAAATACCTTACACAAAAACAACGCGAATTAAAACAATGACTCTTTTGAATATTTTTTTTTATTTAACTGGTAATGCTGCAACTTTTATATGATGTAATTGGTTGTATAGTATCTATTATATAGTTTATTATGCTTAATATTAATAATTAATTTAAAATTAATTAATATTATGCTTAGTAATTAATATTTAAGTTACTTACTTGTGCAATTTAATCCATCGAAATGATCAGTGCATCTACAATTGTAACCTTCTTCAACAACTGAACACGTCCCACCATTTCCACAGGGCTCGTCAGCACATGGACTTACTACAGAAAAAATACCACTCACTAGCAATCCACAACATATGTACGTAAAACTTTATACATGAGAGGCCTAGTTGTTAATTCTCGAACATTCATTTTAAAAGATAAACATTTCAAAGTTTACAAAAGACAGTTAATTTCGACCGACATGTGATGCTACTGAAGGCTTATCGTTGATGGGTTAGTATCTATCTTCAATCCTAAGAGCATCAATAGATTAGCAGTCTTTCTCTACTAAAGCTCAAGCTTACCCATTACAGTTATTTTAATCGACTTTGATGTCAATCCAATGCTATTGGTAACATTCATTCTTATTGTAAACACTGTGACGTTAACATCTGGTACATTGACTGTGAAAGTTGCTTGGTTAGTGTCTGTGTCTTCAATTCCAGAAGGATCAGTGGTCCATTGATAAGTGACATTACTAGGATTAGCTGCAACTTCAAATTCAATAACATACTGTTCATTCCGACTAACAGTGTCTTCGTTTGCCAGTCCAAATTCAGGTTTATCTGGAAGACAGAATCATAGTGATTCGTTAGAATTATAAAGAAGAAATAAAGGCAAATGTAAAAGAAAATGTTTAATATAAACAATAGCATATAAATTCATTATATTCTCAATCATTTTACTTCTTTTTATTATTATGCACTTATGAAGAAAAAAAATAAGGGAAAAACTAACAGAAGTAATTATATGTATAAATATATAAATGTTTTTCATTTGCTTTATTTTACCAGAAATAGTATGTACGTTAAAATGTCCATGTTTATCATAGTATATTATTTTATAATAAAATAATAGATACATAATTCTCATATTGTAATAGGCATATTTAATATCATCATTAATTTTTTCAACACATGTTCACGTTGGCATTGTCAAACACTCATAAGCTGACTTGTAGCAAATAACTTTAATACTCTTATCTGAAATACAGTCTTCCGTGTGGTTATATTGACTATCAACCGCATTGAGTTACTAAAAGCCATTAACAGAAAGCATGGTAAATATAGCAATATCAGAGGAAAATTGTCAATAGGGCATTCTGGAAGTTATATTAATTCAATATAACTGACATTATGTAATTTGGATTAGCATATTTAACAAAAAAAAAATCAAAAAAAATCAGTAATAATTGACTGATTTTTAATATCTATTTTAATTAAAGTAATCATAATTCTGCAAGATACTTTGCAACTTATAAAAACATAATACCACTCTTACCAATATTGACTTTTCACATGAAAATAGATTTTTACTAATATGCTGTTCGACATGAATTATTACATTAAATTATATTGTAATTTGACAACTACTTATGATATTTTGTAGATTTGTCTAAAAAGAAAAATTAACAAACGACACAAACTTCTTTCTTTGGGCAACACACTTTTATTTTATTCAAATTATTTGATACACAGAAAAATGAAAATTCATTCATAAAATCATGTTGAGACACTTACACTGAACGTCCAATTGTTTAACTTGTGTTGCATCACTACCAGCAATGTTAGTTGCTTCACATTTGTAGTTTTCTCCATCACTCCTTGCCACATTGTCTATGTTGTATGCTAGATTTGTTGTTGTTTCCGTCTTAATCAGAGTCCCATCTTTATAGAGATTGTTGGATCAGGTTCGGCATTTACTGAACACAAACACATTACAGATTCACCTTCAATAACAGGATTAGGAGTAACGACTAACAATATTGAATCTAAAACTGCAATACAAAAATATTATATTAATATAATTTTTTAACTGGAAGAAATTAGACATGGACTATCCTTTCACTTCACTCACCTGTTTTTTTTAAGTACCAGTATAATTTAAATACAATTTTTTTTTTATAGTAAAAAAAAGTGAAGTAAAATCCATAACTTATAATCCGCCTAACGGCTGTTCAAGGTCATGTGAGATCCCTCCGTGTCATTTCAAATATCTTAAATATATTGGTGCTTACTATTAATTTTACTCGTGTATTAACATTTATAAATGACTAAAAAAGTTATAAAAACTCACAAATTGGTTCATTAATATGAACATGTGTTCCCATAAATACGGTACATATTGATTTATGGTTATGAACAACAATAAGAATGTTAATGAGTTGAAACCAATGACGAGGTGAAGTTGTAGGGTACTCACATGCAACACTTATTGTGAATGCACCAGATGCTGGTGAAGGAGGATCATTTAGAACGCTAACGTCACATTGGTATGTGCCATCGTCAGTTCGCATCGTGTTATCAATAACAAGAGTAAGTTGAAAGCCATCTCCTTCTACACTAAATCTATCAGCATAATCAGCATACACAGGACCAGATCCGCCATGTCTACCTACTATGATTCATAGGCCTTTCATTATTACGGGATTTGTTACAGCAATTATAATATAAATATGGCCTACTACAGTACTTACTATATCAGTGAGTTATGACCTGTATTATCACATAATTAATATTTTGTAACTTTGTCTTGAGTTTATATAAACATGCTGCCTTTAAAAAAAATCCAATATATTTATTTTAAAGGTTCTACAAATGTTCGCCAATTCATATTCTGGTGACCACTGCTAATGGTCTTTTTAGTTTGTATTTTTGTGAGTTGTTCTTGTTTAGTTGCGCATGTTATAGTTAAGCTTGCTTCATGGCGTATATAGGATAGGCCTCCCGTAGTATCACTCCTATTTTGTAGTAAAACTCCTGTCAGTAATTCGGAGAAATTCATTAAGACATCTTCTACCGTGTCGGGAAATCACGTTTACATTACAACACCATTAACAGGGCCGGATGCATAAATGTCCAAAAGGGGCGACCGATCGAGAAACAACACACCACTATGAAATTCTTCTTTTCTAGACAACCCGAAATAACCTCTTAGGCGTTTTGGGGGATCAAGAATTATGTTTTCTTCCTATATTTTATCCCCTTTTAACATTAGGGGCCCGCCCCTTACCCCCACCCCCAAAAAAATAAAAAGAAAAACATTGAAATGATATGACGGCATCTCAGAAAAAAAAAAAGACAATCATAAAGATTTAAGTCTGTCTTTTATAACCCGGGTAAACTTCTCAAGCTGGTGGCCAATTCCACTTTGTTGAGACCAGCGGTAAATTGTGGAAGTAGGCCTATAATTTTTTTTAAAATTCAATTCACACCCAGTCTCTGTTATAGGTTATAGATTAATTGGTCTATTATTAACATTGGACTATGACTCGGCCTTGTTTTGTAATGCCGTAATGAGGGAATGTAGTAGCATGGAGAAGGGTGCCGGGTAAATAATAATAATATAAAAAAAACTTGCAGGTTCTCCTACGACCCACTAGGAATTTTTAGAGCACAAAAAATCGACTCATGTACTAAGTAGTTAAAAACAATGCCAGAGACAGAAATTGCCCGATGAGGAGCTTGAAAAACCGCCCACATTTACCTAAAAAAAGTTAAAATTAGACACCTTCCGATTCCTGGAAATGCCACTTTCTGTCTGTAAAAATACGTTTTGAAAGCACAGTTTCAACAGAATCAACAGACAGACCTTGCTCCCCGGATCCGCCGCTGAGCGCCTCCAATGGTGGATAGACATCACGCCTCATATCAGTTATCCTCTCCCCTCCCCCTCCCTTATGCCCCATCAATCTAATATATACTGTACAATGAGCTACACTCAGAAAAAGCCAAACTTTTTAACAATGCCAGAGTAGGTGGTCGTGTTCCTGTTAACGTAAAACTTTTTTGCAAGTACACTACTGCAAATCGGCGCGAAAAATGATTTATTTTTTATTAATGTTGCGTGGGCCGGATTAAATTCCCTGGAAGGGAAGAGTTGGCCTGCGGGCCGTGGGTTGAATACGGTCCGGGGTTAGTGTTAATAATTTCTTGATCCTTTATGTGATTTATTCAAAATTTTTAATAGGAATTTTCAAGGTTTATCCAGATTTTGTTGGCAGTGACTTATTAAACGTTACACCACGGATAATAATAATAATAATAATAATAATAATAATAATAATAATAATAATAATAATAATAATAATAATAATAATAATAATAATAATAATAATAATAACAATAATAATAATAATATTTTTTATTATTATTATTATTATTATTATTAAAGTTTCGACCGCATGGAGTTTAATGTCGTACCCAGGACATCCCTAACTACCTTAAGCTAGGCTTAACTACTCTTAAATACATTACTCTTAAATACAATTGGCAAACTATCCCCGCCGGACACCATCCCAGTATTTAGCAGTTTCGGGGCCATTTTATCACCCATGACATAAGTTAGATAAACAAATAGCTTTTAAGAAGATATTTAAATGTAATAATGGAAGTTGCATGTTTGATGTGTAAGGAAAACACATCGAAAGTCTGAAAATGACTTATTTCCACTGGAGTCCTCCTGATGGTGATTGGCCTGTACACTGGGAGACGATTCTCTACTCTTTTCCGAAGTGACATGGGTCATAATACACACGGGACAAACCTGAGATAGCTATGTTGAAGGGACAAACGGATTAAACTTCTCTCTGAAAAACGGTGTGCATATCGTAACTTACACTTCAGCCCTCTGAAACACAAAACATCGATAGGAATTGAAGAGACGACCAAGAGCTCTAGTGGCAACCGCCAGTTGAGCCGACTGAGCTAAGCTGCAGTAATATAACAATAGGCCTAGATGTAATTTAATAAAGTATTATGACATAACTACCTGTACAACAAGGCCCAAGTAATGAAAAGTCTTGATATCATATCTAATGCTACCTGAGAATATAAACAGTTCAAATCAATTACAGCACAACAAATAAATTGGAAGATAATTGCTTTTCTACTGTCCAACTACTATCATCATAATAAACCTAATCAAATAGTATATAATACAATAGTAGATTATAAAAATATCAACCTTGTGTATACTCAGCGTAGTATATCTTTACAAAAATAATAGTGTGAAAATTTTTTATTTTATTTATAAAAAATACTCTCCCACCAAAATCATGAAAATCTCCAGGTTCTAGTATTTTGAGGACTGATTTTGAAGTTTATTTGTAACACATTCAGTAGCTTTGAGAGGTGGGGGTGGGGTATAAAAAAAAAGCTGTGGGTAAAATAAGAACCGAAGCCCGGCAAAGCATGAAAAATGAAAGTACATAATATAACTAAAATATTGTAATATTATGTATTTATGAAACCAAATACAACATGCATGCAAGAATCGTCTATCTTATCGTATAACTGCAGAAAAGGGGCATAAATTCCCTGAAATTTCACACAGGACACCCGTTACCATGTTCACAGATTCAGATTTAGATATATTTATTCAATCATATAAGAAAATACATGAAATCTGTTAAACACATAGGCCTAGGCCTAACATTCATATATTGAAGTACTTAAAATCCATTAAAAACATTTTATAAAAAAGATTAGTGTCAATGAAATTACGATATTATTGCATCCTAAATCAAAATTATATATTTATAAATTATGATAAATATTATAAATATGTGTGAAACATATTAAACAATTTCCTTTAAGTAAAACCAGTATGCTTACGTATACATGTGACATATTTAGTGTCAAATATAATGAGTAAACCCTTAACCTTAATTGGTTAGTTTCTACAAAATTTACTGAATTAAATTGATAATGTTGATCTCCTGTTCATTTTCTCAAGCACCTTTTTTATTGGCTGTCATAAGAAATACTGTAATTAAAAATAAAGAAATAAATGCATACTGCAGCGTGTAATACGTTGGCCTAATTGTATTGGGTATTTTATTTATTGTTATGGTGGGCTTCCCCTGAACAAGGTGTTTATGACTATAGGTCCCTATAAAAGTCTATATCTTACTTTAGAAAAAAAAATAAAAAAAAAATATATATATATATATATATATATACCATATATATATACATATTGAACAAAGCTACATAGGCCTATTGTCTTTTAAACGTTTTAGTAACCCCTCTACACCGACGATTCGACAGTGTAGACACCTGTGTTGTTGAGATTATTTTCTATAGGCCTATAATTACCTAACTATAAAATTACTGAACAACAAAGCTGCATAGGCCTACTGGTCTTTTAAACGTCTTACTTACCCCTCTGAAGATAACAGATTATTATGACACCGACGATTCGACAGTGTAGGCACTGAAACGCCGGAGCACGTTTTAGTATTTCGTGGTCTAGATATGGGACACAAATTTGCAACACTTTCTTCCGGGGTAAACAATTATGAAATATGTTTATGTATTCATTACAAAAATAAAGTAACTAAAGTTTACACAATCGACCTTATGTTCAACTTAACTTCACAGATTAATCTAGCATAAACAATCTGTAAAAAGTATGTAAAAGCTAATTTACGTTAAAAACACTGAGCATGAGATTGGTGTTCATATTACATAATAAAAAGCAGTATAAGAAGAAAAGTGTATTGACATTTACTGGCAGTTCGTTGGTGGAGATATTCGGAGCCTTGGATTAGAGTTCCTGTATTGGATTGTATTGGGAAACCTTGTCTCGACGAACAACAGTTTTCGCCTACATGTTCTGTAAAGCTATTCATTGGTTTGACCTTGAATTTACTTGTAGTGTATGTGTAAACACACAGCTTCTTTTTTCATATTTTGTCTCAGTAGAAATAAGGAGCAGGAGGGCATGTCTGCACGACTGTTGACACGACGACTTTCCCCTTTTTTTTGAACCATTATTTACTTACTTGTTTATTGAAAATATTTACAGTACAGGGTACTGTAACCACCTGTCTTGTTTTGTGAAAAAAGCTTAATCTCAAGCACAGAATACATGTAGTATAATAATATCTATAATACCATTCTTAATAGCCCTAATATTACTATCCTCCATAATTTAAGTTATGATCAATCCTTATAATCGTTGAAGTTGGGTAACTCGGGCAGCGCCGTATGAGTATTTTTGGGTTTTTTTTAATTACACTTGTAAGTAGGCCTTGGAACAGTTTAATATAAGTTGATAGGTCTACCTGGAAATTGAATAAAATAAATACAAATAAAGTATAAAGAATAGCGCTGCTTAGATATTGTTTTGGAGGCGTCAGTGTGGAAATGTTTCCTCACGATTCTTTATTATACAGTTCTTCCTAGTATAGCAAAAGCACTATATCAATTAAAGGGTTTTGTATTGAAAGTCCCGCTGTGTTGAAAGCGGAAACAATTATGTTAAAATTTAATTGCATAGAGCATTGTTGGCGACATTGTTATTTTCAAACATTTCAAAAACTATAGATCATAGAATAAAATATACCGTACTTTTTATCTTCAAGTGCAAAATTGATGAGTAGGCCTATAGACAATTGAAATGAAACTTAACATCAAAAACAACAGAAGAGCCAATAGGCGTGAAAACATACCATATCCCTCTTTCACCGGTAAACTATTTCAAGTACCGTACTCGCGCGAATAAGCGCCCCGTTTGAACAAGCGCCCTCCTAGCGTGAAAGTTTTCTTAAGCGCCCCGTTTGAATAAACGCCCCCTTCAATAATTCAATCAATCTTGGACTGTGGATGTTGGCATGATATGAGGTGTGGAGTGGAATCACATTCTCCTTAGTCAATATCAAAATGAGTATATTTATCTTGGACAGATAAGAGCTCCCTGGACAGACAGTATATTTCCAACTTTCATCTTACATTTTTCTATAGCTTTAGTCCTACTGCTTTTCCGACAATTTGCACCTCACACATTCTCATCTGAGGTTTCAAGAAAACCTGCAATGATCATGCCATCCTGCTAATCTCAATCGGCCGATGGCCAACAAGCTAACCACATCCTCTATTTCATCTGCCATTCTACTGTTATGTAATACTGTGCTCACAACATATTTGTCATAAGCGCCCCTCCTAACTTGAAAATTTCCTTAAGCGCCCCGTTTGAATAATTTCATAAGATTTTCTTTTAGCAAGTCAATAATCCAGTCAATCCTGGGACTGTGGTTGTTGACATGATTTGAGCTACTGAGTGGAAACACATTCTTCTTAGGTCAATATCAAAATGAGGAGATTTCTCTTGGACTGCTGAGAGCTCCGATTCCTGGACAAACAGTATATTTCCAACTTGACTCTTTCTTACATATTTGTCTATGCCTAATCCTACATCGTTTTTTCTTTTTCCGACCTTTAGCACATTCTCATCTGAGTTTTCAAGAAAAAAATACAATGATCATGCCATTCTGATAATCTCAATCGGCTGATGGCCAACAAGCTAACTACTACCCACGACCACTAACTAATTGCTATTTGCTTATTAACGCATTCTTGTTATGAGCCATGTTCTCTGGACGATTATCTTTTCCGCCAAACCATCATTCGTAATGTCCTTAGATAACCTTTTTCATTCAAAGTCTCTTGAATTTAATAATTTCCCATAAGAACCCCTCGATTTTCATCTATTTCCATAAGCGCCCCTTCAATTTCCACCCTGTTTTCATAAGCGCCCCGTTCGAATAAGGGCCCCGTTTGAATAAGTGCCCCCCAAAAAAGTGAAAAAAATATTTTAAGCGCCCGAGCGCTTATTCGCAGCGCTTATTCGCGCGAATACGGTGCTCATTCTATCCACGCGCCGCAGCAGAGTGGAATCATCTGCCAGAACATATTGTTAATTCTACCTTAACTGCAGCGTTCAAGACGTTCATTTGTAATTGTACTAAACAATAGTTACACGTAAATACACCAAAGTATCACAATGCATGTTTTGTTGCTCTCTGAGGGCCTCTCTCTTGGTGGTTGCTTACTGGGCACCTGGATGGCTGAGGCAGGGTAAATGTTACTCTAGTTCCTTTATCTTGTCTCCTAGGGAGTGGTCCAGGCATTGTGATAGCGGTGGCCACGGATGGTAGACCCTCAGAGAGCTGGATGATGGGGACGTTTTTGTTTTTATTTTTATTGCTTAAAGTCAAGATTGTTGCTCGACCCATTTGTTGGCTTATGGCTAGAAAATTAATTACAAACTGAGAGTAATAATTATAAATTTTAAAAATGTAATAACAAATAGAAAATTTTTAAAAATAGAATATTATACAGCCTGATACTCAGATGCAAAACCTTCAAATTGAAGTTAGTTCCTTAATAAGAGGAAAAAAGGAAAGAAATAAAGAGAAAATTTTGTCAGAATTGAATAAAACAACTTTGTGGAGCTCCTAAGTACGATAGGCCTATATAATTAATATATATATATATATATCGATCAGTTGCCTGACGATCGCAATAGCGTGAAACTCCGAGTAGCAACATTCTGTTCCAGCGACCTCCAGTTCTATATATATATATATATATATATATATAATATATAAA